AAAAGTTGCTACTTGCCTGAAGCAAGGATAATGAAAGATCTTGAGCAGAATCTCGGTCTAAATAGTTTGACCTTTTTATATTCAACACCTGTTTGAGTGCACTTGGTTAAAATCTTGATGTGCACATAGATCCTTCTTCTTGACTTTTTATTAATGATGTAAACCGATTTGGTCCTGAAATACCATATAAAGCTTCGGTTTATCTAATTAAATGGTCAATACTTGGATGTTATGTATTGATACCTTTAAGGTACGATGGTCATGCATCTCCATTATTATAAAACACTCAAAATTATACAGGTATATGAGGAAAACTGTCTACATGAGAAGTCGAAGTAATCTGTCTATTATTGACTTAAACAATCATGAACCTGGTCAATAGCTTAGCATGCAATAAGAAGATCACAAGTAGCGTACTTAACAGGGAGAGTAACCCACGCTGTACTCTTTTTCCTTTGCTCGAGGTTTTGTCCCAATGGGTTTTCCTGACAAGGTTTTTAATGAGGCAGTGTCATATTCGGAAGTGTACTCTTTCTCCTTCACTAGGGGGAGTGTTATGAAAAAATCTGATTTGATTAAATGTCCATATTAATATGTATTATTCTATTCACAATTAAGGAGATATGATTCTATAATACTTAGTATTAATGATAGGTGATTCTTTTTCCATAGTTTGATCTCCTACTTCTTGTATAAATAGGGAGCTCATTCATGCTTCAAAATATATCTGAATATAAGTCTCTTATCTCTCTCTACTCTCTTGTCTGTCTTCTCTTGTTCTTATGCTTAGTTTCATATGCTAGTTTAGTATTAATTTTATAACAAAAACGGATTTTTCAATCTTTAACATTTCATTTTTGGTTTCTATTTTTGTTTCTTTAAAGACAGTTTTTTTTTATCAAGTCCTTAAATTTTGTACACTATATGAGTCATTTCGGCCAGAAGTGTCAATCTTACAAACCGAACACCAAAAAAAAAATGTCCCAAGAAAAAGTTCGATCATAACGAAAATTGAAAAACATAATAGTTATATATGATTAGTAAAGAACACATTGTAATCATAAATTTACTTATCGATCACAAAAATGTGGTCATTATTCTGGTTTCAATTATTTATTCTTAACTCTTACTATCAACAAAATTGGATCAAATTCCAGGACTCATGTATCTCATGAAGATAACCACTAGGTAAACAAGGATCGTGAAGTGAAGTGCTAGGTTTTTACTCCAATAGAAATGATAACAAGTCACATTAACGGTTGTCATCCTTATGCCCGAACTATGCTAATTTTCTCACCAATAGAGTGAATGAGATATACTGTCGATCGCTTGTACTAATACAAAATATATACCAATACCTCATCTAACCAAATATTTACAACTGAAACATTAATCAAAAGTATCGACGCTTTATTTGCCAAAATTGTGAAAATGATTTTAAAAGAGACCTAAATTTACTTGATAAGTAGTTTAGCGGAAACATCGAGGGAGTAAGCCCAAGAATGAGGATGATCAACTAGCACCGGAGAAAGAGAGCATAAAATATTTTATTTCAAAAATTGAAAAGATTTTAGAAACCCTAATTGGGTTGATTTTCATTGTCGGTGTCAATTATATTTGGTCCCTATGTATAGGAGAGTTACAAGAATTACTAGACTATATTTACCATGACTAACTAGTAATAGTAATTTTGCTAATTACATTCACTAACATCCCCCCTCCCCCTCAAGTTGGAGCATGCGAATTCCGATTGCCCAACTTGCCAAGAAAAAAATCAAACTCACGCTTTCCCAACGCCTTAGTAAGAATGTCAGCTAACTGCACACAAGTAGACACAAAACTGGGAGAGATAGTGCCTTTGAGAAATTCATCACGCAGAAAATGACAATCAACTTCAATGTGCTTAGTTCGCTCGTGGAAAACAGGATTGGCAGCAAAGTGAAGAGCTGCTTTACTGTCGCAATAAAGTTGAATAGGCTAAGAATGAGAAACACCAAGATATAAGAGCAAAGATTTCAACCAGATCAACTCACAAGCAATAGAAGTCATGGAGCGATATTCAGCTTCAGCAGAAGAACGAGCGACGGTATGCTGTTTCTTTGCCTTCCAAGAAATAGGAGAGTTACCCAACTGAATGAACCAACCTGAAAGAGAACGGCATGTCAATGGACAGCCAGCCCAATCAGCATCAACCAACCATAGAGTCGCAAGTTAGAGTCAGCCTGCAATAAAATACCCTGACGGATTTCCTTTCAAATACCGAACAACACAAAGAGCAGCATCCCAATGCGCTTGTATGTGTTTATGCATAAACTGAGAAAGCATATGAACATAATAAGATAGCTCAGGCCGTGTAACCGGCAGATAAATTAAATGACCAACCAAGCAACGATACCGCTCAGGATCAGAAAGTGGATCGCCAGTGGCAAGCGGAAGCTGATGATTCTGATCCAAAGGAGACCCAGCTGGTTTAGCGCCCAACAAACCAACCTCAGAAATAATATCTAAAGCATATTTCCGTTGACAGAGGAAAATGCCAGAAGCATTACGAGCAACTTCAATGCCAAGAAAATATTTGAGAGCACCAAGATCTTTCATGTGAAAACAGTTACTCAAATAATTCTTAAAAGCTGACACAGTAGAAGAATCATTTCCAGAAATCACAAGATCATCAACATAGATTAACAAATTCATTTTGATAGAAGCGTGGTGCAATGTAAACAAAGAATAATCAGAGTGGGACTGATGAAACCCATACCGTTTCAAAGCACCAGCTAACTTGTCAAACCAACAACAAGAAGCTTGCTTTAGCCCATAAAGTGAGCATTTCAGGCGACATACCTGACCAGGAGAGCTAGAGCGAAAACCAAGGGGTAATTTCATATAGACTTCCTCATCAAGATCACCATATAGAAAAGCATTATGCACATCTGTCTAATGAAACTCCCAATTTTTCGCAGCAGCTACAGCCAGAAAAGTATGAACAATAACCATCTTGGCTACAGGTGCAAATGTCTCCTTGTAATCAACACCCTCAACTTGGTTATTGCCCAAAATAACCAAACGAGCTTTATACCTCTCAATGGAACCATCAGATTTATGTTTAATTTTGAACACCCATTTACAACCAATAGCCTTCTTTCGAGGAGGAAGTTATACAACATTCCAAGTGTTATTATTCTCAAGAGCCTGGATCTCAAGTTGTATGGTTGCACGCCAATGCTCATTCACTATAGCTTTAGCAAAAGTATTAGGCTCAACATGGGCGGCCACAGCTGCCAAAAAAATCTGATGTGCTGGCGAGAAAGAACTACAATTAACATACTGAGCTATAGGATAGGGTGAACTAACAGGGGGAAAAATAGTATGATGAATAAAGTCACGCAGATGAGTAGAAGGAATCTTAGAACGATGACCAAGACCCAACAACTCTTCAGAAACTACAGGAGTCAGTGTAAGGGAGCTCCCCCTTCCTGACGTCAATACCACCAAGATCAGAAGATGACATAGGATCAGGGGAAACTGGATCCAATTGAGATTGTGCTGGAGAAATCGAACGAACAAAACTCATCATCCTCATCCTCAATAACTGGCCAACTCCCTAACTGATTTTCAGAAACATTTTTCAACTCACTTAAACTCAGCAACATATAAGGAAACTCAGACTCAAAAAATCTGATATCACGAGATACCAGAACGGTCTTAGAGTCAAGATCATAAATAGACCATCCCTTTTTACCAAACGGGTACCCCAGAAAAACACATTTCCTGCTACGAGGAGCGAACTTGTCCCCTTGACAATCTTGATTATGAACATAACATAAGTAACCAAAAACTCTCAAATGATCAAAATTAGGAGGTTTGGAAAACAACACTTCATATGGCGTTCGACCATGCAAAATAGCAGTAGGGGTACGATTAATCAAATAACTAGCAGTCAAAACACAATGACCCCAAAATTCAACAGGCAAATTGGCTTGAAAACGTAAAGCACGAGCGACATTAAGAATGAGCCGATGCTTACGTTCAACATGCCTATTTTGCTGTGGAGTACCAACACAGGAGGTTTCATGAATAATCCCATGCTCACGAAAATAACCACCCAAACAAAGGAACTCAGAACCATTATCACTTCGAACAATTTTCACCAACTTATCAAATTGGCGCTTCACTAGGGCAAAAAAGTTACACAAAGTGACAGAAAAAACAGTCGTACCAGGAAGCAAATAAATCCAAGTTGGTCTAGAAAAGTCATCCACTATGGTCAAAAAATATCGCGCTCCACAGGACGCAGAATCACGATAAGGACCCCACAAATCGCAATGAATCAACTGACAAGGCTCAACAGTTTTGGTTTCACTAGTCGGAAAACTATCTCTAGATTGCTTCACACGCAAACAAATATCACATACTTTGGTGGAAATATCTGTAGAAGCACTAGAATTAGCACGACACAATTTCTCAACCACCTGATAAGACGGATGACCCAACCGTTTGTACCACAGGTCCAACGATCCTTCAACTCGCATTGGCGCCGCCACTGCCTCAACAATGCTCCAAAAGAAATAAAGCCCCCCTCCCCCCCAGTTGTTCACCTGATCCAATCACTGTCCTTAAACTGAGATCGTGTACAACGCAAGACTAATGAGTAAAATAAGCACCACAACCCAAGTCTCCTAACAGTTGAGACAAGGAAATTAAACTATACAATAGACTGGGAACATATAAGACATTAGACAGAATCACACGCCGGCTGAGATGTACTGTGCTGGTTTGGGTAGCCATTGTCAATGTTCCATTTGGTAGCCGCACTGGACGAGGTTAAATCTTACGAACATTCGTCAAATAATTAAAAAAACGAGTCATGTGGTGAATTGCACCACAATCAAACATCCAATCATTAGGGAAATTATGACTACTAAATTTCTCAGCTTCAGGGGATCTTGCCGAGTGTAATATGTTCACCAAACTACTCCATCTTACTTGACTCAAGCCTGTAGCAGCTGTTACTGCACAAGAAATACCTTCTGCAAAATCAACTCCACTACAATCATTCATTGAATACATCCCACGGTATTAAAACATGAAATATAAACACAATCAACCAAAGAGAAGAGAAAATAAATCCCCAAATTAAAATAATCAAACCAGCCGAACCACCAAAATTGCAGCTGACTAAACGCCGTAGAAACCCACCAGAATCCATCGAAAACCAAGGATGAATGAACTCCAAATCAGCCACCAAATTGTAGCCGCTCCACCAAAAGTCAGCCGCACCAAACGTGGCCGAAACCCACCAAAATCCACCGCAAAATTAATAAATTCTACTCTTACAATTGGCTTCAAATGAATTGGGACAAAATTTAAACCCAATATATATATATATATATATATATATATATCCTACTATATTAGAAACAAAAATCTCTCTTTCAAACACCTCATATGATTGCCACGTGGCATGTAGAAAATACTAAATTGCCCTTTTGTCTAACCATAACTAAATTACTAAATCTCCCTTTGTACTTTACGTGACACGTTTTTTTTTTAATTTTTTCTTTATGTTTCATTCAACTAGAGTGGTTTTTTAAATTGAATTGATCAATTAGGTTTTTTGTTACAAAGTGTCAATTTTGTTTTAAGCGTATACCCTTTGGATGAAGCTTATTACAAAGCTATTAAAAATCTCCAAAACTAAGTATTGATTTGGCACGACCAATGGAGAACATCAATAAATCATCTTACTAATATTTAAATTTATTAGGATGCTTTTATATTTTATCTAACATTTACTTCAACACATATATTCAATTAAGCTATTTATATTTAATAAGTAACATTTATAAAACATTTCTAAAACATACATGGCGAAATACAATTTATTTATTTTTTGCGAAATATAAATATTTCTATGATCACACTTATAAAACATTTCTAAATCCTTCGAACATTTCTAAAATATATCGCTCCAAATACAAAATTTTATTTTTTTCAACTATAAACATTTCTAAGATCTACAGATAGACTGGGCCAGGGTCGCGCATTGCGCGACCAGACATCACTAGTATATATATATATATATATATATATATATATATATATTATTGGCAAGAAAACTTCTTTGCCCGACAGCAACCAAGATCATAAAAGGACAAAGAAAAGAAAAAAAATAAAAATAGAGGCGATGGCTATCAAACCCGCTCTGGTGCCATGAAAAGATTTTAGAAACCCTAATTGGGTTGATTTTCATTATCGGTATCAATTATATTTGGTCCATATGTATAGGAGAGTTACAAGAATTACTAGACTATATTTACCATGACTAACTAGTAATAGTAATTTTGCTAATTACGTTCACTAACAAAGATTAAACAAAACAATCGTAATTTTTTTTTAAAAAAAAATCATTTAATTTTCATTAGCTAAAATATTTTCGCTTAACAAAGTAAATTATCCTTATTCTTATAAAAGAACCACTCCAATTATATTCTCAATAATAAACTAATATTTTGATTGGTTGAGAAACTCCCGATGATATAAACAATTTTTAAAGGGGTTAAAATTGTCATTACAAAAACAAAATTTTTTTTTCTCTTTCTTCCGAATAAAGGCAAAAACCGACTAAAACATTAAAACCTTAGACATCAACGACGTGTTTTAAGACGACATCGTTTTGACCCCAATATAAGCAAACAGCTAACCTAATTTCACAAATTCTCTCTGCCGCTTCGCTTGTTCCCATTCCCCGTCGTTCGCCATTGAGGTTGGTGTTGGAGGTCGGAGAACGACAGGAATCCTGATGCGAGTTCTTGCATCAGCTTTTAAGCAGATTGAACGCCTCTCAAAATTCAAGTCCACGAAGTCTCTTAGTTTCTCTCAATTTTTTGAGAATTCGTCTGATATGCACTACGCAATCTAGGTAATAGACACTATGCAGTCTGATTTGGGAGAAGGAGTGAAGCGAAGCCCGAAGATTCGATCAGGATGATTCGTTCGCTGCAAAGCCCTCAGTGATCGATAAGCTGTGGTGGAGAAGATGGTCGTGGCGGTGGAATTGACAGGAAAGTGGATTGGTGGTACCCTAATTCAAGGTTAAACCCGTCGTTACTCATCATCCGCTGAGCTTACTTGCCGAGTCTCAATTCCAGAGGTTCGTCAATCCTTCACTCCCTTTGTTCCTGAGATATTGAATGTTTCCTCGCCCTGAAGGGCAATGATGTTTTCAGAAATCCTGTCTTGGGTTGCTAAAAATTATTTAAAGTGATGTTGGGTTCTTTCTCCATTTTTGAATAGTGTTGATTAGGTTCAAAAGGCGGTTGGTGTGCTTTGTACTCCTAGTTTAGAGTTGTAGAGTCAAGGAAGAGATCGTCGTGACGGATACCAAGGTGATCGTGCTAGACGAGGTGTGGGAGGTTAGCACTGGAAGCGGCAGGGAAAGGAATGGGCAGTGCCCTAATCCGAGGTAACTTCTTTTTGTTTAGATTTTTGTTTTTTGTTAAGGGTGTAAAAGATGTTAAGTCTTTACTCTGTAGTCCTGCGAAAGGGTTTAGAGGTTCAATAATTATCTTGGTGTTTGAAAAACTTGCCTGTTTACAAAGTTTGTTAGACTTATTTTTGTTAAGACTTTATTGTGTGAAAAAAGAGCATGAGACATGGCCTAAAACAGTATCAGGATTCAAAGGATTCATAGTTAGAGATGAATTAATGATAATGCCCCTTTGGGAATTCCTGCTCAAAGAGTGGTTAACCATTGGATTCAAATAATTTGCTCGGGAAATTTTCAGTAGTGATAAATTGGACTAGGCTACTTTAGAAACAGACTACCACATAAGGTAGCAAAACCTTGAACTTAGTTGTTGAATCAGTTTTGCTATTGAAATCATAAAACACTAATTAACAATTTTAGTGACAACGAAATCAAGTTGCAGTTGAGCATGATGATTGTGCTATTGTGCCACGAGAAAAGATAATAACTAAAGTTTTATAAAACTGAGATACGATGAACACTGACAATACCAAATTGTCATATAAGCAGTTAAAGAGTGAGTTGATACCTATGATGATACCTATGTGCTTGATCTACTTCTAAGTTAAGCATCAAAAGCTGTGAGATGGAGGGTGAATTTGGTCACATTAGCTCGAAAAAATTCTGATTTTGGTGGTAGGTCAAGCAAATACGCCGATGATCTTAAAAACGTATAACCACCAAAAGTTTTGTTTCGCCCAGATAAACTGGACTCTCAGCTCCTGCTCACAAGAAACCAGCTCCATTAGTTATTTTTATTTATCTTCTCTTTTTTTTGTTTTGTTTTTTTTTTTTTTAAAATTCCAGTCAAACTAAAAAATTCTGCATCCAATTTCTCTGTGGTGGGAAGCATTGTAGTGAAATGTGAGACTTTAAAATTAGAAAATCTTCTATTTCCTTGGGGTGCTTCATTACTTATTAATCTCATATCCATGGCATTTGGTAGATTTTTATTTTCTAGTAATTTTGAATAGGACTAAGAATAATCATAGAGATTAGATAAAGGATTTCATCAACGGAGTTAGTAAAGGGCAAAGATCTGTGTAGGCTTAAGTAACTTCGCTTGGCTTGAATAACATTGCAGAATAGGTGAAGTACAAATGTATTACTATACTCTGGCTATAATTGTTTTCCATCCTTAGGCATAAAAATTGAGCTACTTCAGAGGGTAAAACATCCCTGATATGCAAATTTATCCAACCATGGCTTTTCAGAAAGCTGGTTTGTCTTTTTTCCTTCGTTGGTCATTCAAGGGTGGAACAATTTAAAATTCTTTGCTTTATAGATTCAACCTAATTTTATCTTTGCAATAGTCCTGTTCATGATGACGATTCCAAAGGGTTGTCTCAACTTACATATTGGCTTCCTAAGAGCTTCGGCATTCGCTGGGCTTGAGAGCTTATGATGCTTTTATCCTTCCTTGGATGTCTGAAACTTTTTTTGTTTAATTTCTTTTTTTTTTTAAGTTTTTTTTTTTATGGTTGTCCTTAGATATCGATTTTCGGCACATGCTTATAAGGATATAGTAAGAAACCATGAATTATTACAGCTAAGTAGGATTTTGTTTTGATTCTCACATGTGCTATGATCAGCTTTAGTAAGTGTACTTAGAAATAGGTTTTGGTTGGTTGCTGGTGTTCTAAAGTTTCTGTAGAGAAACCATTCTAATGATTGATTTCTCAACTTGTCGGCCCGCAAATCTCAGTATATGTCCGGAAAAGTTTCTGATTCGCTTTTAATCCTCACACAAATTTTGTAGGATGACCTCATTTGACCTGATTTGGTTATGGCATGTTGTTTCAATAAGATAAAGCTGCATTTTAGGTTAGATATAGGGTGGTTCAATATAGCTCTGTGGACTCATTCTTTCAAAAAATTGTTTCTGAAGTGATAACTTCCGCACCGTCTTTTCGATTACAATGGTTCTTGTGTAATTTTTGTAATCAGCTTTCTTGAATCAAGAATTGCTACTTGGGATTTGTTTTTGTACCAGATAAAAAAAATTAAGGAATGGTTGGAGGTTTTCGTTCATCATCATTTAAGTGTTTTTATTCAACGTGTATTGTTCTTACTATTTTATACAAGTTGATGATGACTAAAAACCTTATGGCAATACTTACAAAACATTCATAAATAAAATTATGAACTTTTTTATGTTGCTTTATATGCCCCCAATTTGTATGTTTTTTCCCCCCTTGTTATTGGATTTTTATCTCAAGCTCTTGGATTGATTTTGCTTCGACATGTAGGTTGGCAAATTGTTTCTTTTTCCTGTTCTGTTTATTCATCTTCCTGCGACAGGAATGGGATCATGCAATGATCATTTGGGTTGAGATAGCAGAATGCCTCAGAGCTCTTCTGATATTATTTGAGGAAAGATTTGAGCTAGGATAATTTAATATGCTTCACATATTCCACTCAAAATTTTCTGGAAAGTGTTGTCTTTGGATATTTCCTGAATTCTTAGGTAAAAGTATCCAAATTTTGAGGCAACTGAAGATGCTTTTTGACAGGCAAGAAAATACTCGAGTTTTTAAGTTATGTTATGCATCAAATGCATGATGAGTTGCTCAAGCTTGAAGGCGAATCAAACATGAGTGGAGGGAAATCATCACTTGATTTCGCGGCTGAGGATGATGAGTGGGCAACTGTTGGCCCCAAAAATAAATCTGCTGTGACGAGAATCAAACCTTTGTCCCTTCAATTAAGTTTGGTTTTTTGGGGGGCAATTACAGTGTTGTGAAGGCAAAAGGTAAGCTTTTTGAATTTGTTTTATTCTGCTGCTGAGAATTCGACTGAGAATATTGCCATGAAGTTGATGCTAAATTCCTTTTCATTTAGGTGTTGATAATATTTCCACTGCGCATGTAATATATACGGTGATACTTTGCTTCCCTGGTCATTAGAGAGATGTATTATTGCTAAACGTACTGTTCCTCTATATTGTACATTGTTATACTATTTGACTTGTAAAACATTTGACTTCTTGAACCGTGTAATTGTGAGGCTGGACGAGTTTTGGGGGATTTCGAGTTTATGATAGTTTAATCTTGTGCCATTTTTAATCAATTTTTGATGAATTTTGGTAACTATTTGACCTTTCTATGAATAAATTTTCTAACATGTGAAGCCCTCTATAAAAGAGACGATACAAACTCAATGATATAAGTTCCTGAATCCTCCTTATAAGAAATGAAAGATGTTGAAATTTTATCGTTCTTTCATCTAAATTTACTTTTCAATACAATTTCTCTCAACCAGCTATGTGGGAGCTAATCAATCTTTCAAATGGATTTAACAACAATGGAGGGAGGAATTCTATGTCACAGCAATGGCAAGTTTATGGGAGCTCTGGTTCTTGTGAACCTCTAATTTTTGGTGTCCACTTACGTCCTGATACTATGATTCACGGAGATAGTTCCATCATGTCTAGAAAACAAACTAGCAACACAAAAGATCAATAGATGCTTGTCAATAGATCAGACAAAAGTTGCTAAGAAATATTGTGAACACTTAGGTCAAGAACCAATCCAATTACTCTTGCTTTAAAAGCCTCCGTTGTGGTCATGTTTGTACTGATGGCCTGAATATGTCAAAACACATGCTAGATCCTTTTTTGAAGATTTATTTTTTCTCTTATATAGTGTCTTTTTGAAAGGTATTTAATTATCATATCTGTGTATAAATACACTTCATTATATAGTCTCTATATAAATTACTTCATTGCAATAACATAGAGATTGGAAAAAAAAATTAAGCGATATTTACTTAATCAACATTGATATTTTGGTTCGGTCAATGTTTCTAAGGAGAAATTATTTCGTGTAGCAAAATTATAATAAAAAAGAATAAGAATTTTATGAGACTTCAGATAGAGATATTCCATATTTTCTAAAATGACCAAAGAATTTAAAGAAACTCCGTTATTCGTCGTAAAATTATAACAACATATATTTTGTTATAAAATTATCAATTTCAAAATTAATTTACAATGTATTGCAAATACAATATTTTGTTTTAAAATATATTGCAAATAACCTAGTATAAATATAAGATAACGTGGGGAGGGAGTGAATTACTAACGAAATTTTTACTTTCAAGTTATCGAACAGACAGAACGAATTAGTAGTGTAGTGCCTTTCATGCGAAATGAAAGGTCGATCGACCAAACCATAATTTTTCTTGGGGAAATTCTCGTCACCAAAATGGACGTTAATTAGAATTGGCCTTTGGTAAGGATTAAATAAATGCTCTATTTAATTCACTTAAAATCAAAGTGGGCACTACCAAGAATCTAGAAGCAAACGACTAAATTACATCTAAGACCAACAAAAATAATGGCATAAAAGTGATAAAGTTGAAGACTGTTCTTCGAAGTGGTTGATCACTACGTTAGATTGAGTTAATTTGATTGGAACGTACAAGGTTCAAATCGAGCAAATATAACAAATGCATTTTAATTTGGAATTTTATAACAAATGATAATTTCTTCATGTGACCACCGTGATCAATTTTCTACAAACTCTTCAATGTGTTTTAATTAACCTAACGACTTAGACTAAAATAAACTTCATGCACATATTTATGAAATGCATCAATAGATCCAAGATTTTTTTGTCTTTTTGACGCTGACATGTACGTTTATACCTTATTACTCTAAGGGAAAAAAAAAAAAAAAAACTCCAATATCTTAAACTATTTTGTCTCAACAAACATGAATAAGACATAATAAGATCTAGCTCCATCGATAACTTATACTCCCTCTCCCCCTGTCCCAAAATTATTATCCGATTTTGATTTTCATTTCTAGTACAGTTTGAACTAAAAATAAAAATACAAACTGGAGCACAATTGTCCTAAGAAGAAGTGCTATAAATGATACACATGGATCCAAAAAAAAGAAAAAGTGAAGGCCATATATATAATACCAAGGGGAATACAGCAAATAAAAACTTGCTACAATCTAAGGTGGCAACTATATATATATATATATTCTAAAATCAGCAATATTATGTAGTCAGCTCTTCGTTTGGTTTTAACAAAAAGAAGTGAAGGTCTTTAATTTGTAATGTGGCCAACCGTAGTTTGGCGATTCTTTGCCCTTTCTCAGAAATGGAAGTGCAAGTTGACTATAAAATGAGTCGTTGAATTGTTTCCCACTTGTAACAGTTGTTTATTTCGTATTGATTAATTTTGAAATCACCAATTTTCAGGTCATCTTCCATCTTGAAGGGCAAGTACCATCAACTCCTTTATCATTAGAAACTTGAGTTCAAATTAACAAGGGATTGAGTGTTACAGTTATAATTTTATATAACCATTAGTTATTATTTCTTTGAGAAAAGATTAGGGATTTTTTTAGTGAAGCAAGGTGTTATATTTCGAAATTAAGAGTTACTTCTTGTGAGGACTATTAGTTGCTTAAGAAGGCATAGGCAAATTGCGTTTTCCAGTATTTAAGTGCTATAAGCATTTTTTCGTAAAAATATAAGTGACTTTAGATTGGAAGAACGAAAAAGACATAATTTTAGCATATATATTCACGAGATTAAGCTAATTAGAAATTGGTCTATCAAAGATCTGATGGCCAGTTCGGACATTTATAGTATCAAAAGACAAAAGTTATGATTAAACCGTCATTTCTAACACCAAATCACCACAAAAGCTTCAAACTATCTTTACTTTATCAAAACTTCACCATCTTTCTACATCCCACTTGTTTTCTTTTATGATAAAGCTAACCAGTCTAACGCTTATGAGCAAATTTCTTCGAATGCTATAACATTGTTTATCCAGTCTTTTGACTCCGTTTTATCCCTTAGCCGTAATTCTCTCCGGTGGTTTGTACGTCGAGTCTTCCATGCAAGAGGATAATATGGATCTTTTCTGCTTCGTTAGTTTGTACTTTTCCGATGATGAATTTTGTATTGTTAATGGACACAGTTAGTTGGGAAGGCATGGAGGCTTGGATCAATATTCTTGAGGAAGATTATGAGGGAGCAATTCAGATTAGACCAAATCAGGGTAAATACTTTCAAACCTCCTCAAGTTGAATCTCGCATTTCAAGAGTAATTTTCTGGCATGTGATGTTCAAAGAATTTCTCTCAAATCTCAATTCATAGTTTTTATACTTATTGATTAATTGTTAGCACTCTCAATGAATCAATGGATCAACTTCTTCACATGAGTTTGATAGCATTAATGCAACTAATTCAATACAAAAACAAAAGTTGATAGTGCACTTGAAGTGAATCTTCCAGTTCGCTATCAAAAAAGTACTAGAAAAAATTGGGAAGATACTTCGTCGTACCAAAAGTATATAGCAATTGTGTTCCATGGATCAAATACCATTATACCATTCATACACCCAATATCATGTCAAAGGAAAGTAGCACACATTAATAGATTTTATGGCCTACTCCAATGGTTCACTTCTATCATATTCTATGCTTTGAGCACACCAGTACACTAGACAGATGATCCATGAATAACCTTGACTATCTTGCTATATCAACAAAACTTAATGTTTATCTTGGGTTTTAACGTACAATTATTTTAATTAAGAAGTGTCAGGGTTCAGAAATATAAAACACCCTCCCGAGGAATACAAATTCCGTCCATTCAAGAGAACAGTGATATCGTCCTTGGAGGTAAACACAAAATGCTTCAAAATGGCCAGTCTCCAAATGCAAAAGGGTGTTAGTAACAAAGCCTACCAGCAGGAGGAATCATCAGATGCTACATGACCTTACAGTTGAAACCTCTCTTTGGCAGCTGCGCTGGTGGGAATCACACCAGAGGGTGATACAATAGCGTCGATGAAAACATCCGTCGGAGTGACAGGGACAATATCGTCATCCATTATCTGAACTGAATAAGACAGAGCGACTGCATACAGAAAGCACCTTATCAGCCAAGTTCCTAAACTAACATTTAGTTACCCTTGCTAACACTCATTTACCAAGAATAGAAGGAAAAGGTAAAAGAAACAAAAATAAAATGGCTTACCAAGTAAAGGACGCTTCCATTTCTTTTCCTTGGCGCGCTCTAAATATCTTGTTAAAAATGTGTCGTAATATCTTCAAGTAATCACCAGCAAGAAGCAATCGGAATATGACGGGAAAAGAAAAAGAAAAATCAGATCCAACAATAAATGGATGTAGGAACTCCCAAGAAAAGAGAAAAAAAAGAGAGAGATTTAGGACAAAAACATATCATTAAAGCAATGAACGAAGATCTGATCAACTAAAGCAAAATTTGATAATCAGTTTTGCTTATTTCCTCTGTTAATTGATTGCAGGTTGCATGGTGCAGAGGGAGGACTACGATCTCAGATTAAAAGAAACAGAAAAAGGAAACACATGATTTAATAGGAGGACCATGTCTCACACAAGTTTCAACAACACATGGCTATAGCAGTCTAGGGAGCAAAATAAAACTGTTTCAGCAAGATCATCTGAACTTAGAATGGAGCCTGTATATATTAATACAAAATTTATGAACTGCACACAAGTTCAATAGTTGATAATTATTGAAGAACCAACAGAGAGCTTACAGCCCAATTCTAAAGGATAACTACAGACAAAGGCGAAGAACCTCACCCTCCACCACGACCCAAACGCCTTCCAGATTTGTCAAATGCAAGTCCTGAATATTTGTAAGAGAAATTAGAGAGAGATGACAAAATTAAACGTATAGAAGATAAAGATAAAGCATGGACTCTGATGATGAAGCTTAAAGTGCAGTTACCAGGCAACAGAAGCAAGTCAACAGGATGATCAGATAAGAGCACTGCATGGAGGAAACAAAGTCGCAATAAAAATTTAGTTTGATACAAGCAGAGGATAAAGTATTGTTGAATTAACAACCTAAAGATAGTAATTATTTCCGGAAGTTACATGCAAACAAACTTAGAGATATGCCATCCATGTAAGTCAAGTAATCCAATACCCTCACATATTTAGCTCCTCAAGGAAAAACGGAAAAGCAAAACCAAATGCCTAAAAACTTGATGTCTTACAAGGTGAATACTTACAGAAGGTAAGGGATAGGGAAGCAATAATGGAGGGCGATTGTAAGTCTGAAGTTTTACGTTCAAAACTAGGGAAAAGTCGGGGAATCCTAAAAATGAAAGAATCAGAATCTGATGTTATGCCTAATCAATTACAAGAACAGGGCTCTGATTTCCTCACTTATTCATAACGGATTTTAGCTTTTTAGGAGATATGGTTTCTACTTAAAATAATCAGCTAGCAGGACTAACTGGTCATTCGGGCAAAGTTTGAAAATCGTGTTGAATGCACCAAAGTCACCAGTTAGCAGAGTAATTAAACAGGGAAGTCAAAACTCCACTAATCAAACCAAAATCTGATGAAGGGAAACAGAACTTACCATCTTCTCGGTCATTTCCATCCACGTCAGTAGGAGCTGGCTCCAGAATATTCATAGAGTTTGCAATCAAATCACTAATGTTTGTGATATTGAGCATTCGCATGTAACTATTCTTGTCCTCCACACGTGGAACGTAAAGTGTCTTCCTCTTCTGTGGGTAATCTGAAAAAATTGGAAAAGGTTTACGTTTCAGTACATGTTTACTTGGAAATTAACAATTTGAGATTGAAGCAGCATCGATGAAATAAAAAATGTGGTGCAAAAGTGGTACATGTCTACTTAAAAATTAACAATTTGAGATTAAAATAGCACTAATGAACTCCAAAATGTGGTGAAAACATATCAAGTAGTTCCATCAAGTATGTTACTGTACGTATCCAGTATTTCTGTCAAGTATGTAATGCACCAGTCAAATTTCTTAAAAAACATGCTCTTTTATTAAGCAGGCAAAAGGTCCTCAAACCCATTAAGTGAACAAATTTTGTTGATGGGGAAGCTAAAGAAATCAAGATCATTCCCTGAAGTATTAATCAAACATGAACTCCTGCATTCAAATCTGAACTTGTATATTAACCTAAACGTGCATCGCTTCAGCAACTTGGCACAGAACTGATGCCTCCATAGACCCTCTTTTTCAATAAATGTTTAACAGTGTACTTAACCCAAGCTAAGTGCAAAAAGTATTCCTGCAATCACATCATTTCTCGCTTTCGAGATACTGCATAGGTGGTTCTATTGCAAACAAATCATTACCATCTTACCTCTGTAGAAGAAGAAAATTTGAATTGCACCTTCTATTCTGAGCTTATGTCATATGACTACTTCTATCATGTAACCAAACCACCTGGGTTGGTTGCAGGTGTTCCATATCATTCTTGCAGAGAAGATTCTAACATAATAGACACATTTTCCTAATCTTTGATATCTTATCAAACTCAATTAAGCTTTTGAAAAAAGAATTCAAAGTATAATCTCTCAGCTATAAGTTGAAAATTGAGTAGCTCGAAACACAATAAGGTAACTTCCACGATTGAAATAACGAGTTTCATTTTTAGCTTGACGTGCTTATTAAGATTATTGAATCTGTAGGAAACAAGTTCCCTTTATTCACCTATTTACTTTTCAACTAGAAGCAGTTGTAATTCTATCTTAAACCATCCCAACTTCTCAAGCACATCCCCGACACCTCTCTTCAAAAATCCCTAGATCTGAGGTACCGACCTGGAATCTTCCATCACTTTGCAAGCCAAGCATTTCATGACCTCATATTTAAACCAAGATGAGATCTTATGTCCATCTGATTGAACAGAATTCCCCTCCAGAGTAGGAAAAATTTAGTTCACGAAATACAGCAATGGATATAAGGAGGTCTACCCTGTCTCATCACAGAACTTATTATGGATATCCATCCAATATTCAACTTTGTTTCATGAAAAGGCAATAACATGAGTGGCAGAATCATTCTCAAACAGCATTGAAGATACTTGTAATACTACAATAATGGATATAAAGAGGTCAACTATGCCTCTATCTAAAATCCATCCCAGTCGTCATGTATTCAACTCTATTTGAGGGAATAAGATGAATCACAGAAATATTCCTAAACAGCCAAGAAGGTAATTATGATGCAACCAATGATATAGACGTAAGCTCACCTACATACTTTATGAGAACAAACACAATGATGTGCTCAGTTCAAGGCAATGAAAACTTCTAAATCTTAATTGTAGAGCTTCTGACTTTCTTCCAAAACTGAGGAAAGCTTAGTATGCAGACTTCATTTCATAGGATTGCTATCTAGTGTAATTCTCTTGTCCAGTAAAAGTAAAACCAAACTAAACAAGATAAATGAATTGAAAGACATTCACATGAAATGAGATCGGAAAAATGAAAATGTTTAATCAATACTTGCACAATTTCCAACTAAATTATCTTAGAAGAAGAAATTTGTGCGACACTCTCAATAACTAAACTATATAAGTGGATCTCTACTGAAATTATGTTCCCCACTTAGGCTAAATGACTCCATGAGGATAAAATGTAAATCTCACTCCAAGCTTGAAGCCACAAAAGTTAACTTAAGAATCACACCGTGAGGAGTCATTCTTCCCTTGACCCTCTTTTCATTTAACTTTTGTAGGTAGCTATTTGTATCCAGCTCAAGCAAGTTGAAAGATTTGTAATATAAAGAGCTAGCTGTGCCATTTGGCTTACCAACTCATAACCTCAGCAAGGAACTGAAACTCCACTATTATTAAATCAAACAAAAATGATTCACACATATATTGATCTTCAACCTAATCAAACAGTCAGTAGGATAAACCAATATTGACTATTCAGCATAAAGAAAATGATCTGGCTCAATTACCACTTCTATTTGCTATCACAAAGACAGCAAAAAAGATAGAAAAAACAAATCAAGTTCAATCCTCATGAACAAATAAAATAGGAAAAGAAAACACACCTTTAGATGATAAATCCAGAATTTCATGCAACAACTTGGACGTATCAACTTCCCTCAATGCGCTGCAGCTAATATAAGCACACAAGCTCTCACAGAACTTAAACCACGGAGCTTGCAGAACCAAATTTTGTATAGCTTCATCTACATGTTGTTAAAAGAACAAAATGCCAGTCACTCTAAAAAGCCCAGAAAAGTAAAAACAAAAATCAAACATTAAAATTAACATCAGCAGACCTTCTTGAGATCTTAGGTTGGGGTCCATGGACCTGAGGGCTCTTCTGACTTTGGTCCGGAGGGCCTTCTTTTGATTGATGATAGTACCCAAGTCACTAGAGTCCGATGTTGTGGAGGTGGTGGTACTCATGTTGGCGGCGGAAGACAACCCAGCCGGCGGTGAAAGTGGTGGCGGGTGAGGGTGGCGGGCGGTGATGGGTCGGGTCAGGCAGAGTCCAAATTTGTTGGGTAGTGGCGGTGGAGTTGAAAATCTTAGTGGGCAATGGTGAAGAGAAGAAGGTAGTAGGTGTCGGACCATTTGCCTGAGCCCATTTAGTGTCATTTAGAATAATTGGTTCATCTGCGAATTGCCATTTTTCTATTCTTCTAAACGAATAGGAGAATATATTGACAGATTACTACTACTTTCCACTGTCACTATTCTATTCTGGGAGAAATTTCAGGTGTATTATGATTTAAAGAAATGATCTAAAAAGCTTTATTTGTGGCAGATATCCACTGATATTAAATGTTATGATAAAAAGAGCCACAGAATTTTTTTTCTTATGATGAGAGAATTTTGTTCATGATCCAACTCTTAATGTGAACATCATGGAATGCAACAAATAGGGTCAGCTTTTGAGTAATCGTTATGCAATTTAATCTTGCAAGCATAAGTAAAAGTATGTTTGCAAAATGGATAAAGCATAGATTTTGACACTTATTTTTGTTGGACAATATAAAGAATACAAAATCGGAAAATCTTAAACTAAGGTTCTTTCTCTTTGGTTAGAGGTTTTATTCAAGATTTCAATGGCTTTTCTGACACTTGGAGAGTGATTGTGACATCTGAGCAATCTTTTGTTTATGACTAATGTAGTGGATGATATTTTAATAGGGGAGAGAATCATATGAACTCTATGAGCAATCATTTTGGATGGAAATTATATAGAGTTCATGAGACTTGTGAATCTGAATTGGCTGGAAAAAGACATTGCATATGATGGAGAGCAAGGGCTCTTCACTTTTGATCCACTCCCAAGAAACAAACTTGAAATACAGTTGTACTTGGATTCTTGAAAGGTTTTGCTAGCTTTGTAGCAGATGTACACTAGAGTAGATTTTCCTATTTCCTCAAATTTTAACGTTCTTTAAGTGGAAAATGTTGTCCAAGAAACTCTGGGAATGGAAGCTCTGATGAGTGATGACCATGAGGTATGAGAGTCGAATATCTTAGTGACAGGAAAAGGCTCAGATGGCCTTATCAAAAGTTGAGATAAACTTTGCTGCCAAAGTTTCCAGGCAATTGGAATGCATTGTGTGGCCGGGGGTGAGAAAACTTGAAGAAAGGTTTCGCGTGTTCTCGATATAGTTCTATGGCAACAAGCAGCGAAACAGTAGCTGAAAAACATCATGATTCGACTATCTCCTCATGCCGGGAAGCAAAAAATGGGCGGTGCCAGCTCCTTGAATGTTGCTCATTTTGAATCAGGTTGATGCTAAAATATTGATGTGCTTTCCAGGTTGCTACTGGTTAGTCAATCTTATTTCCATAATCAGGCAAGGAATTTCGCCGATGTTCTTGGTGGTCATGTAACTCGCTATGACTTCTTAGCTTCTCAGGAGCCTCTATGAAAGGTACAAAGAAAAGTACAGTTCTTTCTTTAACAACTCCAATTCTCTAGGAAGTACTTGAAATTTTCTTTGTTTACATGCCACTGCTTTTTGAACAACTTCCACTCCTTTGGAAGTTATGTATCTGCAGCCAATAATCCCAGCATTTTCTTTCTAATTGCAGGTTCTCACAGAAGCGAAAAGAACAATGGAGATGATGATGATGGTGGTGATTTCAGATAGCAGAAATAAGTGTCTATGATTAGTGACTACTTAGTAAAGCCCTGGAATATAGAACTACCATTTTGCTTAACTTCTTTGAATAAATGTCAGCAAACCATAACGACAAGCCAAGACCTTGAACACTCGTTAACTTTCAAATTGCACAGTAAAAAATACATTGAGGCTGGAACTACTTCATTAATCTTTACATGCTTGAGTTTAAAACAAAGTTAGAAAATGCAGTATCAAAGAGCTAGCTCCCTTTTCAACAAGGAGTTAATTAAACATCCTCCCTGTTGAGTGGTATCATACAAACAATAATGGTTCTTAACAAATGAAACAGTTCGCGAGAATTCTGAAGTTTCATCTTGAGGTGAATGCCTAAACAACTTACTAAGCCCTCAATCTGTTATGATGTTTATCCTTAAGCTCAAGTGCTAGAGATATTTACCTTTGCTTATGCAAGAAATGACGAAAAATAAATAATCAAAGACTCATCTGTGCGGCCGGGTAAAGCACCTATTCGAGAATAACTTACGGATGGAGGTCTTGTTAATTTCAAAGCAGCCGCAATGGAGGATGTGGTCACCCTTGTGAAGCTATCAGTCATGCCGCTACATCTTCTGGCGGAACATTTGCAGTGTACCTCAGCTTTCGTAGATGTTGAGCTATCTCTGCTAACAATTTAGTGCCATCACTATTTTTCTGTAGAGTCATTGCAGCATGCTTTAGAAAACCACTCTCTGCTTCAATTGCTCTTAATCTCTCTCGAATTATGGATAATTCTCTCGCCAAAGTCGGTTTATTTTCGTTTCCTGCATAAAGTGGAACATGTCATCTCATTCAAACGAAAATGTAACTATTCCCAGAAAGGACTTTTCTACGGAGATAAGATCATGTATCCTCAATCAAAACAAAAAGGACCCAAAGAGGGATCAAATACCTGTTAGAGGCTCTGAGGGGTGAGATCCTCTCTCAGAAGTTGCATTGATGTTCTTCTCAAGATCTTTGAGTGACTGCAGAAGATAAGATCTTTCGCTGTCGAAATCTAGAGATGATTCAGCCAGATTGCTAGCTCCAGTTTCTTCAGGGCGTTCGAAGGAAACCTCATCTATCATGCCATTTTGGCCTACTTCACCAGTAGGACTTCCACACTCGGATTCTTCCATACAAGGTGATAGTGACTGAGATTTCAACTCTTGGTAATCTTCGTCATCAATTTCACAAATCTCACTTCCTATTTTCTTTATGGGTCCATATTTTTCCCTGTAGACCTCAAGATCCGATTCTAGAACCTTAATCTCTTCTTCTCTCTTCAAAATTAAATCTTTCATGACCTGAAGTGCTTCCTGGTCATATTCTGCTTGTTCCTCCATCATTCTTTGATATTGCAAGGCTTCCATCTGTACAGCTGCCTTCTCTGCTTGCAGTCGAGTGATCATCGCCATTGCGTTGTTTGCTGCAACAGCCGAAGCACTCCTTTCTTCATCCAGCTCCATATATAGAGCAATGAGTGACCTGCGGTCCACACGAACTTGTTTCTTCAAACGGTTCAAAATAGATTCACCGTCTGATTCATTCAATGGATTTATGTCATATGGTTCGAGATTGAGGTCGGGCCTGTCCATGGACATCTTTCTACTAGACTTGTTGTATCTTGGACTGGCTTGAGCAGAATCAGACAATGGGATCCCAAAAAATCTGTTTCCCCTGCCAAAAATGGGTGTTTTAGTTGAATCTTCATTGATATCATCAGCGTCTGGCAGCAATGGCACAGTTGCAGCTTTCATATCTTCTTTACCTGTGATAGAAAAGCAAATCAGCCCTCATGACAGCAACAGAAAAACTTGAACTGACTATATCAGAAAGGTTTCAAGTTTCAGCAGAAAAGGTCTAACCTGAGTTGCGAAACTAAAGAGTTTGAAAGAGCTACCCTCTCCATCCCAAAATGATGATTGTCTTGTTTTGCGATGCAAAAACAGTACAACAAACAAGACAATAATTTCGGGATAGAGGGAGTATATGAATACCAAAGTACAAGCTAATTTTTTTGTTTCAACCTTTGTGATATACTTTTTCGGATTATCCCTGTACCTTTTTGGCTAGTAGAATCAAACTGATCATACACCAATCTGTATCAAGCTGACAAAACTCACAAAACCTCACATTTATCTTTCAATGATGCAGTTTTCCTTTTAGAATGCAACCTAGATCCTTTTATAAATAGTGAAAGCTCAAGAGTTTCTTATTATAAGAAATGACATTTAGATAGTTTGCACCGTATGTCTGACTAGAATAGAATCATCAATTCAGTTTTTGCAGGCAAAAAGTAGGTAAATTCACAGGAAAGAGACAGGGAATGACTAAGTGAGGGCTTACTCTGAATTCCTCCATTCATAACATCTTCATCCTCTTGAATTTCTGAGTCAGTATCCGACATAATCTTGAGCTCGGTATAGCGTATATGAGGCAGTTCTGCAGTTCTTGCATCCTCATTCTTCCATGCTAGCAAGGGGGCTCTCGGAGATGGAGTAGGAGCATATGCATTCATCGATGCACTTCGGATAAATTTAGAGGAAGGTCTTGGTCTTAAAGGTTCCCCACAACATGAACACCGAGGAGCGCCAGTCATGTCAAGTTGCATTAATCCTTCATCCTTCTTTCCTGATTTTAGGTAATTCTTCGGATCATCCTCGACGAAGCAATCAATATCCTTGTGCAAAATCCCTACTAGAGACTTGTATCTATCAGTATCTGAATCTTTCTCTGTCGCGAATGAAAGAAGGCATCCGTCGCACATGTTTCGTATATCAGACAGCTTCTTATGCACATGGCAATAAGCAAGGGAAGAAATATCCTTCTTATGAACCTCACAAATCGATTCATTGTAATAAAAACCTGGATTCCTATGAACAAGAACATGATCTATCCTTGTACAAAGCAAACATGGGATTCTCAAATCACATAACTTGGCTAACTCATTGGAGATAAATGAAAGGATACCATCAATGAAAAGTAAAATTATCATTAACCCCTCTAAGATGGCATACATCACAAAATGTGGCAATTTCCCCATCTTTTCTTCAACAAATGTCCAAATGGATTGTGACATGATTTCTAAGCCTAAATCTAAGACTATGAAATTCTACAAGAAGGAGATGGTCTTGTAAAGGTTACAATTAAGAATGCGATAAAAAAAGAGATTGAAAGTGTAAGATCAGCCAAAAATGAGATAGATCATGAATCTGGAGGGAAAATCAACAGGCCCCAGATCATGATCTCTCTCTCCCTTTCTCTCTGAATTTCTCTCTTTGTCAGCTTTCTATGAGGAAGACGATGAAAAAATAAAAATAAAAATACAATTATGCAACTCAATCTTGAGGTGGCCAAAATTCGGAAAGAAAAAGTTGGTTTTTTGAGATATAGTTGGTCAAAAGGAATGACAAAACTCCTAGCTTTTGGTTTAAGAGATAAATATAGACATAGCTAGGTGGAATATTTACCTGAATTAACGGTCTATCGCGCGCTTTTCCTACCTGCAAATTGGAAGTATTGGGAAAATGGTAGTATATCAAAATGAATACATATTTTTCTTCTAAAGATTTGCATAGATCACCATGTTTATTTGCATTTCCGAAGTAAGATCATCCGTTCCACGTATTTGCAATTCTGTTCTAACAACGCAAGCCTTGTTAATTGTCAGACCCAAGTTCCCTCTTTTGTTAATGTTCTCTTTTCCGTTGCTTGCTTACACCTATCATTATCTGCTTCGGTAAGAGTCCCCTTTGGCTTACGACAGATGCATTTCTACACTGTTCTTAACATCAATCTGTACAACTATATTCAATTCTGAGCCAATCGAGCTTTCAGTGGAGCAGCTCGATAGGTCAACTCAAGCCACTTCGTTGGAATAAACATGCTGAAAACTTCGCTATGATGGAAAGGTGGCGCATCCAGACACCAATATTAGATTCATAAGGTACAGAAGCAGCTTCCTCGGCACTTGTGCACCGAAGTATATTACAACGGCTGTGTCTTAAAGCTTCTTTTGTGCCCACAAGTATAGCAGAATCAAATGTTTCTACTGTGCAACCACTTTGAGATACTCCAAATTCGAAATTTTAGGATAATTAGATGTCTTACGGTCACAAGATTGCTGTAACATGTACTAACTACCAACAGCCAGTGAGCTACTTGTTAATGGGGGTACAAAATTGCAGCACTTGTAGGCCAAAACGCTACATATGCATGGATATATGATGGTTAATTTAGTCGCAAAGGTGATGGTGGAAAACTGCTCTGCAACCAAATTCTTTTCTCTCTCAATCTGTAGGCAACACGTATGCAGACATGTAAGGCGAAATGCAACCTTGTACCTGAAGACAATCGAAATCTTAAGGTAAGTGAGAGATACAGATATTATGTTTCACAGATGTCCAAATGCTTTCACGGCTGACGGCTGCAATTGTGAAGTTAATAAGGAGGTGCCTTGCAGTACCGGAACTAGGAAAGCCAAAAGCATAGTGTTCTCAAACGTTTAGGGAAAAAGTATTCGAAGGAACTTCTAGTTCTTTTTGATGACTAAAATATGAGAAGGGAATTAAAATAAAGATCAAATGCTCCGTTCAGAAAATAATTTTTTTAAAAAAACACTTACAAACAGCACACCTTGCATCATCCATAAATCCCGGAATAAGCATACACAAATGACATGTAAGTTTGCCAGTAGCAAACATGTCAGCTTTGATGCATATCCACAATGTCGAAATTGTTATCAGCATATCATTAAACATGCCAAAGATATATTGCTAGGCAATCAATATGTGAGATGTAATGGGCAATCCAATTTCTCATGAAAGATCGAGGCAAACAGAAACGGGGAAACTACTTGCATGCTCTCAACAATATGTATTCGAAGTTTGACAGATTGCACCAGAAAGAATCTTAAAGTACAAAAACTACAGAGAGACATACGTACCTGTAGTAAACAAAGGGGAATTTGGACAAACCCCTGTAGCAATAGATCAACCTTTTCCAAGGATTTTATAGGAACAGGGGTGATTAAATAGAGAACATTCTTTGAAGTATCAATACCTCGCACTATTCCTGGAAAATAATAAAGAAGCTAGTTAGAACATAGGTAGTGCAGTGGATTTCTATGTGGAATGAGAGCAAAAGCTTTACAATATCAATAAGATTTAGCCCCACTATGTCAGGGTCGACTACATACGTCAGATGTTGGATCATGCTCGGTTGTTACACATCTTCAATGTACGTAGAAATATTGCAAGTCATTTGAAAGGATGAGAAATCTTTCCGAATCCATTTTGGAACAAACGCATAGCAGAAAGTTGGAGACAGGATATGAAGAAAAGAGGGAAACTACAGTGTCCCCCCATCCAAAATATGGACACACATCTTATACCTTCAGCCTGTAGTTAAAGCGGTGGCAAAATAATGTGCTAATTTATTTATACATCTCAATCCAAGAACAATCAAGTTCTGCCGGTGATAGATGGTTTCATTGCAATAATAAAATAAACTTGCTATAACAAAAGGGCAAAAGGAAACCAAATTTAACTTGTATGGTTCTTAAATATGTCAACTTACCCAGTCCCATACAAGGGGTAAGACTTTTGGAATCATCAGAACAAACAGCCAAACCAACAATAGTTGCATTCAAGCTGTAAAAAATCTCAGGTTCTGGCACCTAGCATGAATATATTACAGCAAGATTCATGTTAGGTGGATAATATAGTTCAAGAAAAAAGAAACAAAGAAGAAAATAGACTTCAAAAAAATTAGCAATCACAAGATGCTTGTCAATTGCATTATTTTCAACCTGCTGCCTACTAAAATTAATTGAAGTGTGCACAACAATATTAGTAATCATATTTGCAAAGAAGATATATCTTCCCAGAATTATACCTGACAATGAAGATGTTTAATTGTGACATCATCGAGTGAGATCTCAAATGGAGGTAGGGCAGCTAAAGCACTGGCAAATTCCTTCACTGTACCGATGCACATTTCACTGGGGAAGCACTGCTTGAAGTACCACATCGTGCGCAAATCTCGCAGTAGACGTGCATCTTTCTGCACCAGTACCCTTTTGGATATTTAAAAAACAAACCAGCAAAGCAAAAAATGATGTTAGTTAATGCAGCTGATGATGAACAGACTAAAAAGCTGTTCACATTGGCACATATAACTCTGAAATAACAGAAGCATCAATCTTGATATAGAAGATAACAAGAGGTTGCAACATCAGAGACCTTTTTAGCCACGGGGGAAGAAATAAAACCAACAAAGAACTTACGATCTATTGAAATAATCCTGCCGAGCTGAATTGACCTCAATTAAGATTGTTGATTCTGTGTCCTCATCTGACCAAAACACTCCAACTGGTAGATTCTTATTCTCTGCTGAGATGCAAATCTTCACCACATGGGTAGGAGAGATATACTTGAGCATCTCCACAAGTAAGTCATAACCAATACCTACATATTCATTTGTCTCCTTATACATACAAAAAAAAAATTTTTTCTGGATATACACAAACAGTTCTGAATGCAGCAACTCCATCAAAACCAGTATAAAACAGAAAAACAAAATGCACAACGTTCACTAGAAAGAAGATAAATAGAAGGAGAAAGGTAGCACTACAAGGTACCTTTCACCCAGCCAGAAGTATTGATGACCAATGGCACTGCAACATTCGGACTTTCACTCTTATTGAACAAGCCAAATTCTTTCCTATAATGGTCGAATAATGAGAATATAAATGCCAAGTAAGTTGTTGGATCCCTTTTTGAGGATACGTCACCGAAGAAAAAGCATCTGCAAGAGAATTGACCGGTGAAAAGTCAGCATGACTCAGAAAATGCACAGAAAGGTAATGTGTCTGATGAAGAACGGGTATTTATCATCCACGAAATAACCAAACTGAGAAAAGGAAATAATTTAAACTCCTTCGAACTGATATTTATAGTTACACTAAGCATGATATATGTTATCAAACATTAACTGGAGGGAATAATTCCAACACACGGGTTATAGGCACTTTTGAGACAGCAAAATTGCAATGAAATAGTAAATGAAGATGATGGGCACAGGTTACAGGCTGTCACTAAAACAAGAACAGCATTTGAAATGTAAATTTAGAAAATTAGCAGTTTATAGGCTGTCAATAAAACAAGAAACACCAAATTAGTTATGAGACCTCTAATTCTATGTCTCAACAACAACAACAATAACAACATACCCAGTATATTCCCAACTCGGTTGGGGTCCTGGGGGGTCAAGACAAAATAGATAAACAGAATGTTTTGCAAATCCCTAACCAACTGCAAAGACCATTATACAGAATAAAAAATAATGAGGGGTGGGGAGATAGCAATAGGATAAGCACATACCTTTCTGGTGTTTTTAGGCATGGAGCAGCCAAATCTGGTCATTGAAAAAGAATTCAGCCAACTTAATATTTTGGTTCAGCTATAATAAGTTACAACAGAAGCACCATCGTAAAGACATGCTAATAAGAACCTACTCGGAGTTATTGTGTCAATCACGGTGAGTGATAAAAGACCAGGAGGGGTAAACTCTGTCTGGCCAACATCAGTGTCCAAATAAGCCACTCTTTTGTACCTGAAACAGAAAAATCATGCTCAAGAAAACAGAAATGGTTGTATTTTTAAAAAAGATGGGAACCAAGAATGAAGTCAACTTCCTGATTGACAGAGTCTTGTATCCCTAGGTTTAAACAGATTCACCTTTCATCTCTCTTTCTCTTACAAACAGCTAACTGGAAAATTTTCAAAGTTCACATCATGTACATCAGGAGCTTCATGCTAATAACTAAGCATGTAGTACGAATCCAGTTATGTAGATTAAACCACTGGTCGATCGAACAGATGTTCACAAGACTCAACCCCTAGGGAAATGTACTCTCGCAAGTTCCAAATGATATTGCAAAGAATTAAGCATTTGGCCATAGAAACACTTCAGCATTTTGAGATAAGGCCATCGAATAATCATCAAAATCGTTAAAAACCCCTTTATGTTCCTTTCATCTATATTGCACCCAACAAAAAATAAAAAAAAAACTAAATCAGAAATCACTGCATTCTTTAAAAAAATTTAATTGAACAACTACATAGGAGAAAAATCAAATGAAACAAACAGTTATTTTCAGTGCAAAAAGCAAACAAGAAACAAGATAAATCGTGAAAATTCAGCAGAATCCGGTACAATCTATTTCACCATATTAACCAACATTAGACGAACCAGAAATTCGTGGCACGGAAACTCATTAACCCACACAAGTTCATAACTTCACGACTAGGAATTGCGCCTGAAATTCAAAAGAGACTCCCCGAAATGGGATTTCACTAACCTTTGGAGGAGAACATTCAGCAGGTGGCGAGCGAAAGTGGACTTGCCGCAATTTTTAGGCCCACAAACAAAGGCAACTGGAGGACAAGTTCCATCATAATCAGCTATGGTGTTTACTGCATTGGACCAATCTTCAGGTATTGTTATCTCCACAACTGGACTCTTCAATTCCCCGTCGGAATCCATTGTCGACTCCATCAAACTTCAAACTGTCAAGTTCTACGTCTTGTTGAGGTTTTCCCCCTTGAACTTTCTGGGGAAACGACACGACAATAAAACCAGCATTGCTAAACCGGATGGGACGTCCGGTTCGACCGGTTTAACAAGCCGATGACAAAGATTAGGGTTCTAATTAGAGAGTATTACTAATTCATAAGTTTGGAACACGCATAAGTTTGTCTAAAAGTTTCGTATTCATAAATTTCTTGCCATCCCAAAGAGTTTATGGACAAAATCTATCGTAAAAATAGTGAATGCCAATTTTGATTTGACAAGAACATTAAAACACGATCGCAATAATAAAAAACTTACAAAAGTTAGTCCGTGACTATTGATATTTGAACTAGTATTTATCGTTAGTGGTCTAGAGTGTTGGTGCCACCCGGTTTCAATTAGGAAAATAGCTACTCCGTGACAGTTGGTATCAGAGCTTCGGTTCGGTACATACGCTTCCGCTCGTTATTACATTTTGTACATCATGTTTAATCCAGAGGTTACTCAAGGTGTGGAGGTTGAAGGTGGTGTTCACATTTCTCGTGAGCAAGAGAGGACTTATTCTTGAAGGGGAACCCATACGGAAAAGTCTGTTACTCGTGAGCCGATGGTCGACTTTGAGTAACGGCTTGCCAAGGTGGAGTTGGTGGTGGCCGACCATCATGATCGTTGGGAAGAGCATGCTTCCACAGTAGAAGTTATCTCTAAGGAATGCATGGAGCACTTCAAGGATGAATTGCAAGAGATCGTGCAAGAGATGCGTGAAAAGATATTTGGGGCACTCAACAAGGTGTTTGAGAGGGTCACTAAAACTTGCGAGGAAAATACAGCCAAAGACCATGCTCCAAGTTCATGTGTTCAAACTCAGGGGCGTGTTTGAGACTTATCGAGCGCAAACGGAGCAACTCAAGGTACGAGTGGATGCTCTATCTGCTCAAAGGGCGACCGGAGTTGGAGGGCCATCTCCAATGACCGATGTACCAAAATCAAATGTTTATGCTAGTAGCCGCAAGGCAAGAGATGTAGAGAATTTTCTCTACAGGCTTGAGAGGTAATTAGCGCTATGGGTTTGACAGATGACTTTGTTAGACTCTACCAAGTCTCGTGTTATTTGAAAGATAGTGCCTTGTCTTGGTGGAAACATATAATGAAACCAATATGCCGAGAGAAGCCAGTGTTCACAACCTGGGATGGATTTAAGGAGGAATTTAAGAAGTATTTTCTCCCATCTGATGGTGAAGACGAAGCTTGGGCTAAACTTCGTCGCTTACACTACAAGGAGGGCCACATCAGGAAATATGTCCAGGAGTTCTCTAATCTTATACTTGAAATTCCTGATCTCTCATCCAAAGAAACTTTGTTTAAATTCATGGACGGTCTTAATCGTTGGACTAAATTAGAGTGGCAATGGAGAGATGTTTGAGACGTTAAACAAGTTATACGCATTGCAAAATCTCTTGTGGAGTTTCAAGATAAAAATAGCAATAAAGAAATAGGTAAGAAACTTTTCAATGACACAGGTGGAGAATACGACATGACGTCTTATCTAAAATCATTTGAAGGAGCAAAGATTGCCTCCAACAAACAGAAGTCAAAAGTGGAGAAACCCAGAAAATTTGAGGGTTGCTTTTTCTGTGGAGGATCTCACTTGGTTCGCGACTACCCATCTTATAGTAAATTTGCTACCATAGCTCAAAGTTTTTGCGAAGATGACGAGTTGGGACACATGGCATCAAGGACAATGCCCCATTCAGGTGGGGGGAGAGTGACACGGCCCAAACCTTTTAAGTACAATTAAGTACCTTGGCCCGATACTTTTGATGGACCTAGGTCCAATTAGACGTTTTGTATCAAGCCCAATACCCGGAAAATTCTAGAACGTTCCCAAAACTTTCAAGAGTTTTGAGGGTATTAAGGGTTAGGCTGAGCTAACATTCATCATTAGTGGTCTTGAGTGCTAGTGCTGTACTATTTTAACTAAGAAAATAGTTAGCCCGTGACACATTGAAGTGATGAGTTTCAGTGCAGCAAAATATATGAAAACAAACTTTCTACTTCATTCATTCATGTGTTCGAAATGGTTTTGAGCCTGGTTACATTCTGTACAGAGCATTGAAGGGTTAGGGCATCATCATCCTTCCTGGCTTCCCACTTCTAACTCGACCTTAGTCATCATGATGCCCTTTTTTGTTGATCCGCTATTTAATTTCCATGGTGTTCTTGCAATGCCTCCGAGGTGCAATGTTCAAAGCAAGAACATCTAATCATAAATTAATCAAGCAAACTAATTTATTTAATCAACACACATACTAAAGCCTTCAAAAAGCCAACTTGATTGATTAATAAAATCAAACTTGATTGATCATAATTTTTCATGGTCAAGTTGATATTATTTTTTGCCTACGCAATTTTTTCGCAAAACCCTAGCTATAGCTCTTTATTTATAGAGATTTATTTCTCCAAGCCCAACCCATTATAAAATATTAAAATAATTCAACTCGCAAATCCTAGATTAATAACTTATAAAAGCGTCAAACCAAGATAATATAAGTTATTAATCATCCATGTTTGCAAAAGTCTATAAGCCCACGCAATGGCAGAAAAATTGAAAGCATGAAATCCAAATTAAAACTTATTACCGGAACTAAGTTGCTTCAACTTCTCTACTTGGTTACAAATTAATCTTCCAAACAAGAAGGAACCTCAATGCCCATGTGATTTTATACCCTCCTAAAACCTTCTCCATGTGTTCAATCATTAACTTTTGCTTCTTCATCCAAAGTTTACACTCCTCCAATTTAAACTCGTTCCACTTCTTCTCCATTGTTTTTTTGTCATCCTCCTCCATTAGTTCGGTACCTTCATGCAAAAACCGATTCTCCATTAACGTAGCATCATTAAGAACAAAACTCAAAATCCTCTCTTTCTTCTTATTTCCCGAGCCCTCAATTCCTCAAACTCAACCAACACTCTACCATTTCCACTCCTTTTCACCTCCTCATCTCCAGCAGTTGTGTCTTTGCCCCATATCTTTTTGGACAGGTCGTAAACGTTTTGCCCGTGGGGATCGGACAAGGTCCTTTGTTTACCCTTTTTCAGCACCTTTTCAGCTTTTTCTGCATTCTTTTCATATCTCTTTTTGAGTCTCTTCATTTTATCCAATAGTTGAGACTTGGTCTTATCACTACCAATCTTTTTATTAATGTAATCATGAAATTCGGTGATATTGTCAAAAGGATCAGCATTTGCCTTGGCAGAAAAATCGGCCGTACCTTCGAATATAAGGATCTCATCATCCTCACTAAATATTCTCCCAAAAAGTTTCTTCTCTTCAGCGACATTAGCATTCTTGTCAGCAGTCTTTGTTTTTGCCTTCTTTGAATGTATCGATGGTTCGGGCTCTTCAGGTTCCCTTTTAGCATTGGCACCTCAGAAACAACATCCTCGGGGCAGACTCTTTCTCGGATCTGGAACCCTCATCTTTCGACGATGACTTCATTTTACTGGTCTCGGCATCTTCCAGTTCAGATTCCACTTCTTTTTCGGATTCAACCAAAGGCGGATCATTTTTGGGGATTTCAAGTGATTTTGCCATCGGTGGAAAGAAGAGAAAGCTAAGGAAATGTTTATGGCACCAAAAAAAAAAAAAATTCCTCGTTAGTAACCTAACACCATAATTAATGTCTGGTCTTGTAACAATTAAGTATCTCAAGTTTTCGACCAATGTTTTAAAGTACTTGGAATCAATATATTCATCGGTACAATTCCTTGTCAATTTCAACTTCTCTTCAACATGAGTCATTATAGGAGTGGCTCTATCCATCTTATAAGTCTCTTTAAAATATCGCCAACATATTTATTTTGTGAAAAAATATGCCATTAGCTCGTTGATCTGCTTGAATTTGAAGAAAATAAGACATGAATCTTAAATCTTCCATTTCAACATGGTCTATCATTGCCTACTTGAACTCAAAATTTAACTTTGAACTATTACCAGTAAAAATTAAATCATCTACGTATAAGCATACAATGAGAATATCTCTACTAGAAACAGTTTTGATGTATAAAGTGTGCTCATATGGACACCTTTGAAAACCATGCTCCAAGAAATAAGAATCAATTCTGGTATACCAAACTCTAAGAGCTTGCTTCAAACCATGTACACTCTACTCTCTTGTGAACTTTTCACATATCCAGGCGGTTGTTCAATATAAACTTCCTCTTCAAGGATACCATTTAAAAATGCAGACTTCACATCCATTTGATGGATTTTTCAAACATGTCTAACCGCAAGTGAAATCACCATTCGCACATTATCAAGTATTGCAACAGGAGCAAACACTTCAAAATAATCAATGCCAAGCTTTTGTTTGTAACCTTCAACAACTAACCTTACTTTATAGTGATCTACCAGTCCATTAGATTTGTATTTAGTTTTGTATACCCAATTCACTCTAATGGGTTTCTTCCCTGTAGGAAGTGTTGCTAACTCCCGTGTCTCATTCTTTTCAATAAGATGAATTTCTGCATCCATTGCTTACACCCATTTATTATCTTTGACCGCTTCTTCAAACGTAACTTGATCACAGGCTGCAAATAAAGTAAAACTAACAATATCTTCATCAAATAAATCATTTTCATTACCCAAGACACAATCTTGCAATCTTGACGGTAGTTGATGATTTCTCTTTGGGCGCATGAAAATCTGAACTGGAATTGGTCATGTGTTTTGAGTAAGATGTTCCTTTTCTCGCTAACTAGAACTCGCGTCGTCACGTACACATGCACAACTGGTTAATAGATAAATGATGTTCCTGATTCCTTAAATAACCAATCCCAATATTCCTTCTCATCAAATATAACATCTATGCTAGTAACCACTTTCTTTGTCACTGGATTGTATAACTTGATACCTTTTGTCTTATGACTATAACACATGAACACACACTTCTCCACGATACATTCATACACTC